TTCCAATCAGAACCTTCCCCCGCCCTCACGTTAAAGGTTGTATAGAGGATTTTTTAAGGGAAGAGCAATACAGCAAGAGTCTTTTTTAAATGTTGCGCATGGTGACACGATCTTCCTCCTCATGCCTCTTTACTCTACAAATCACGCTTGTTTACATCCAGTGCATGAATTTCTGTTGAAGTGACTTGTCTAGAAGTAATTTAGCGACCGACGCGTCAGTTTTTAGACCCTTTGTCAGCTTCAGTCGCGCCGTCGCTGGAAGGAATCTCCAAGAATCACCTCAGTTTGGCTTCGCTCCTTTTCGCCTTTCTCTTCTTCTTTCAGCGACCTCAAAAACGGACTTTCTTTGGCGGCGAACCGGTCGTGGATTCTCGTCCGACATCGCAACAAACTTTGTGCGAACTGCGACGAAGCGACGGTTTGAAAAAGCCTCTTAAGAACCGCCTGCATAAACCGCATAATCCCCACACAGCCGCAATTCAGTATACTTGAAACGTAGGGAGTTTGAATTGACAACCTAACAGCCAATAGATAAAGAGGGAGCCTCTTTTTCTATTGGCTGATGTTTATCTGGCCTCACTACGTCCACAGTTGATAGATTTTCATTCTTTTTTTTTTTTTTGGTCATAATTCCAAGGCTGCTGCGTCTCTGTAATGGTATTTTAAACTTTTACTGACAATTTTGAAACTAAAAAAAAAAATCCTCCATACAACCTTTAACCCTTACATACTGTTCATTTCTGAAGCCTTCACAGTTTGGTTTGGGTCAAATTTGACCCGGACCAAGAATTCCCTCATAGTAAGTGTCTAAACCACATTTTGAACTACAGATCTATTTAAAATGACTAAACAGACTGTCCCACATGAAGAAATAAGTGTAACAGCAGGAAGAGCAGATTTTTGCAACACTCGTTTTTGGAGTAAAAACATCGACATCACAATAGTCCAATGAGGTTCATTTGGTCTTCTGATATTCTATGTTATTAGGTTCTTTTTTTCAGACCTAGAGTGTTATTTCATACCTGACAGTTTGTTCTGCTCACGAGCGTCTTCCTCAGAGTCACGTGATGTTGCTGTGTCGTGTCTGGTCAGTTGATTTAAACAGGTTTTTGCGCCGTCTTCCTACCGGTGGAGGCAGGACGACAGCGCCACCTGCAGTCCCACTTCCTCGGACAGCTCCCAGGTGTGTGAGAGTAAAAAAGCCCCTCGTCCCGGTTACAGTCCTGGGCACGTTTCCGTATTTCGATTGCTTCTTTAATCCAGCGGCGATGTTTGTTTTCCTCTGTCCAGGTGATGTTTGCTCCATAACGTGGTTCTCTCTTTTGCACTGGTCAGAAACGGCCGATTTGAGTTGTTCCTGTTCTGCTTTGTGTTTCGCCTTCGCTGTTTCCTTCTCGCATTCTGTTCTATGTTCCTTTTTCGTGGATGAACGCCCTCCCTGTTTCCCCGATGTTGTGTTATTGCAGGACAGCAGGGTTTCGTATATGACATTGCATTTATGCTCCGGTTCTATTTGTCTTTCGGGTGGACGAGTATTTGTCTGAGTTTTCTGTTCGGTTTCACTGGTGTGATGATATTGTTGATATTGTGTTTTTTCTCTGTACTTTTTCTGTTATGCCCCTGGTGTGTGGTAATGTTCCCATGCCTGTGCTAATTTTTTCTGTTTCTTGTTCTGTTTTTCTTTCTCCTTAACCTGTTGTTTCCCTTTGTTTATTGCCCATTTGTGGTACTGGCATTTGCCTTAGCCATTGTGAAGTGTCTCTTCTTCCTGTTTGTCTTGTTTCATCTGTTATGATGTTGTTCCTGTTCAAACATGTTCTACAACGGAGAGTTTGTGGTGTGGGGTTCTGATGTCCGTAAGTCGCGCCCACGGGGACTGTAAACCGGGACGAGGGCTTTTTTTACTCTCACAACCTGGGATGCCGTCCTGAGGAAGTGGGACTGCAGGTGGCGCTGTCTCCTGCCTCCACGGTAGGAAGACCGGCGCCAAACCTGTTTAAATCAACTGACCAGACGACACAGCACATCACGTTGATCTGAGGAAGACGCTCGTGAGCGAACAAACTGTCAGGTATGAAATAACACTCTAGGTCTGAGAAAAAAACCTAATAAACATAGTCCGGTTTACAAAACACCTAAAACATAAAGCCATTATGATTTTTATATATATTATTGCATTTGAAAATGACATGAACATTCTGGAACTGTTGGAATTTATAATATATCCATGTTTATTAACTGTAATATTCTGCTTTGTTCAAACTAGTCGGTGCATCAGAGCAGTGGGAGGAAACTCTGCGTGTGTGGGACTGTGTTTCTGTGTTTCCCACATTTGCAGGAGGTTGTAGATGTTTTGCAGTTTCTTCTTTGCAGGTCAGAAGTTGTATCTCCTTCTCTTCTGTGTCCTTGTGTTGGTTTCTGGTGGGACTTCTTGATCAGGGTCAGGTTCAGATCACTGCACTGGCCTCACCGACGCTGCTGAAGCTGCTGAAGCTGCTGAAGCTGCTGAAGCTGCTGTGTGGGGGAAGCTGGTGTCTCCTTTGCAGACAGGGAGTCACGAGGGCCTTTCCAAGCTCCTCCAGAAAAGAACCTCCTCCAGTTCCTCCTGCTTGGCCTCCAGGTCGGGTTCATCTCGCTCCATAGACAAAGTGGACCAGCAGCTGTGCCTGTAACTTGGTCAAGGTTTTCCACTCCTCCTTTGTTGGCATTGAAGTCAAGGATGATGATGATGATGATGATGATGATGAGCTCACCTCTGCAGCCATATTATTATGTGTAATGTGCTCATAAGGACGACATTCTTGTTCTTCTTTTACATGTACCAGACAAGTGTGGTGTCCTGAGTGAACTTACTCAAACTTAGAAGAAAACACCTCTCTCCCACTTGATTTGACTTGTGTTCCTCCTGTGCTCCATAAACAGGATGTTCACTCCTTCACTGTTTTGAGATTCTCCTTTGCCCCTTCAAAAACCAACAGGCGTCTGTCTGTGTGAAACTCTTGAACTGTTGAACTCTGTCACCTCTGTCCCATCAAAAATACACACAAACACGATCTGTGCAGTTTCAGTTTCAAGTTGCCCTAAAACTTCCATTTTGCTTCATTTGACCCACACTGATAGAACTAAAATCCATCAAATTTGACCCGAAACAGCCTCAGTGTCGCGAAATTTGTAGCACCTGTGCAAAAGTATAAAATTTTAAAATATTTTAATTTTTGTGTACTTTGGCCATATTTAGGAAAAGTCATCAAATTTCAGGATAAAAGATGTTTAGGGTATTTTTTCTACTGTTGAATGTCAAAACTGGTCAAATTTGACCCAAACAGTATGTAAAGACGATTTAACGAGTTTTCCATGTAAACCCTCAAATCGGAATTTTTATTTCCATGGAAACTCCAAGGAGAATATCTGAATTCCGAAGTATTAATTCAGAATTTAAAAACATCATGTAAACGTGGACACTCGTGGACAAACTGCTGATTTTTTTTTTTTTTTACGCGGTTTATGGTTCATATCTCTGTGATGACGTCACCGTGGTAACCGCTGAACATTCCGCCATAGACAAACATGTAGAATTCCTCCAGCGTGACGTCAGCAGGCCCGCGTCCTCCGTCCAGGCAAATTCTAGAACATGAACTCAAACGATGTCGTCCCGATTTCCGTCCGCACAAACCCTCCGCCGGTCTGGTGCGCTGAGCCTGGACTCGGACCCGGACCAGGACCAGGACTCGGACTTGGACCCGGACCAGACCAGACCAGATGTGGCCCTGGGACCAGATGTTGCTGCGTGTGTGGGTGAGTGTAGTTTCAGCTGGAAGAGTTCAGATCCAAATGGAAAAAGGAAAAAAAAAAAAAAAAAAAGTCGGAGAAGAAGAAGTGGAGCGAGACCAGAGCCCGGACTCAGAGAGGAGAGAGGATCTGCACACCGCCCCGCGACCAGAGGGTCTCAGGTTCTACTCCCGGACTCTGCGGGGTCTTTCTCTGTGGAGTTGGCATCTAATGAATGTCTGAGGAAAACCAGGACTAAACCAGACTAAACGGGACTAAACCGCGAAAACGACTAAACCAAGACCAAAACTCAGGTTAAACCAGATAAACCGGTCTAAATCAAGTCTAAACCAGTAATGAACTAGGACTAAACCAGGACTAAACCGGAACTGAATCAGGACTAAACCGGAATTAAACTAGATCTAAACGCAGGACTAAAACAAGTCCAGAACTCAGGACTAAACCAGGTCTACAGCAGGAATATTGCAGGACTGAACCAGGACTAAACCAGGTCTAAACCAGAACTAAACACAGGACTAAAACAAGATCAAAACTCAGGTCTTACCCAGGACTAAACCAGGTCTCATCTAAGACTAAACCAGGACTAAACTGGAACTAAACCAGATCGAAACACAGGACTAGACCAAGACCAAAATTCAGGACTAAAGCAGGTCTAAGCGAGTACTGAACCAGGACTAAATCAGAACTAAATCAAATCTAAATATGACTAAACCAAGACCAAAACTCAGGACTAAACCAGGTCTAAACCGGATCTAAACAAAGGAGGAAAACAAGACCAAAACTCAGTTCTTATCCAGGACTAAACCAGAACTAAACCAGATCGAAACACAGGACTAAACCAAGACCAAAACTCAGGACTAAACCAGGACTGAACCAGGACTGAACCAGGAATGAACTAGGACTAAACTGGAACTACACCGGATCGACTAGACCAAGACCAAAACTCAGGACTAAATCAGGTCTAAACGAGGTCTCAACCAGGACTGAACCAGGACTAAACTGGACCTGAATCAGATCTAAATACGACTAAACCAAGACCAAAACAGGACTGAGCCAAGACCAAAACTCAGGTCTACCCAGACTAAAACAGGTCTAAACTGGATCCAAACACAGAACTAAACCAGGTCTAAACCAGGACTAAGGCAGGACTGAGCCAGTACTGAACCAGGTCTAAACTAAGACTAAACCAGATTTAAACCGGATCTAAACACAGGACTAAAACAAGACCCAAACCAGGTCTGATCCAGGACTAAGGACCGTCTTCATTTCGACCATTTTAACAAAGTTTAACAGAAAATTAATCCAAATGTGACGATGAAAATCTGGAGTCGTTTCTCAAAATCGTGGCTCGTAAAACACGGGCAAAGATCTATTTTGTAGTATTTTAAAGAGTATTTTAGAGTATTTGGAGTATTTGAAAAAATATTTTGGAGTATTTTAAAGAGTATTTTAGAGTATTTTGGAGTATTTTAAAGAGTATTTTAGAGTATTTTGAGTATTGTGTATTTTGGAGTGTTTGGAGTATTTTAGAGTATTTTAAGAGTATTTTTGGAGTTTTTTGGAGTATTTTAAAGTATTTGTTTTGGAGCATTTTATTTTTTTTAGTTTTTTTGGATTGGAGTATTTTGGAGTATTTTAAGGAGTATTTTGGAGTACTCTGTAGTATTTTAAAGAGTATTTTGTAGTATTATAGAGTATTTTAGAGTATTTTGGAGTATTTTGGAGTATTTTTTTTTAAAGAGTATTTTGGAGTACTCTGTAGTATTTTAAAGAGTATTTTAGAGTATTTGGGGTCTTGTGTACTAAAGAAAGAGGTAAAAGTAAACTCACGATTTCTGTGGAGCGGTGGTTTTGGTTGTGGGTTTGTTCGCCGCGACGCTGCATCTCTCTGAAAAATACAAAACAAAACAAAAATACACAAATATGAGACGAGCAGATGAAGACCAAAAACAAAACACTCTACACCAGGAGAACCCAAAACCCGGACCACGGACCAGGACTAAACCAGGACTAAACCGGGATTTAACCAGGACTAAAACCAGGACTGAAAAAGGACTAAAACTAGGTCTAAACCAGGACTAAACCAGGACTAAAACAGGATTTAACCAGGACTAAACCAGGATTAAAACTGGATCTAAAACAGGATTTAATCAGGACTAAAGCAGAACTAAACTGGATCAAAACTCAGGACTAAACCAGGTGTAAACCAGTCTAAACCAGGAATGAAACCAGGTCTAAACCAGAACTAAACCAGGACTAAAACTGGGTCTAAAACAGGATTTATTCAGGACTAAACCAATTCTAAACCAGGTCTAAAATCAGGGCTAAACCAGGTCTCAACCAGAACTAAACCGGGATTTAACCAGGACTAAACTGGGTCTAAAAACAGAAATTTTAATCAGGAAAACAGGTCTAAACAGGTCTAAACCAGGTCTAAAACAGAACTAAAACGAGGACTAAACCAGAATTTAACCAGATCTAAACACAGGACTAAAGCAAGACCAAAACTCAGGTCTAAACCAGGACTAAACCAGGTCTAAACCAGGTCTAAGCAGCACTGTTCTTCACCTTTAACGATCAGAGGTTTTTCTCGTTTTTGCGTCTTCGGTTCGTCTCTTTTGTGTTTTGATTTGGCGTGTGAGACGTGCAGCTGTGAACACTCGGAGCTGTTTACGCCGCCGTAATCAGATCACTCCACAAATCAGGTTACAATCAGATTTCTCCGTGTAAATGTAAACACAGAGAAGTGAAGATTTTTCCACCAAAACAAAGATCGAGTTTTTTGTTTTTGTTTTGTTTTTTTCTCGTTTTCTGGGACTCGGTCGGGTTTGGATGTTTGGTGTAAATAAAATCGTGTTAAAAGTTTATTTTTTTGTTCATCCTCGACTCTAAAATCTGACACTAAAAACACAAACAACAAACACGTGAAATTTATGATCCGCTGAAGTTTAGACCTGGTTTAGTCCTGGTTTAGTCCTGGTTTAGAGTCCTGGTTTAGACCTGGTTTAGTGGTTTAGTCCTGGTTTAGACCTGGGTTTAGGGGTTGTCCTGGTTTAGTCCTGGTTTTAGTCCTGGTAGGGTTGGTTTAGTTTAGTCCTGGTTTAACCTGGTTTAGACGGTGGTTGGTAGTCCTGGTTTAGTCCTGGTTTAGAGACCTGGTTTAGTCCTGGTTGACCTGGTTTAGGGTCCTAGACCTCCTGCGGTTTAGAACCTGGTTTAGACCTGTTAGACTGGTTTTAGACCTGGTTTAGACCTGGTTTAGACCTGGTTTAGACCTGCCTGGTTTAGACTTGGTTTAGACCCTGGTTTTAGTCCTGTTTAGACCCTGGTTTATTCCTGGGGTTTAGTCCTGGTTTAGTCCTGGTTTTAGACTGGTTTAGACCTCCTGGTTTTAGTCCTGGTTTAGTCCTTGGTTTAGACCTGGTTTAGACCTGGTTTAGTTGGTTTAGACCCCTGGTTTAGTCCTGGTTTAGTCCTGGTT